CTTAATGTAAAGTCTTCCCCAGCTGACTCAATCTCATTTATTTCTCCCCTTAAAACCCTTATTCAAGGCAAACTATCTCTCAAACAGACCCAGAATATCCCCTTCTCTTTACTCTGGTTCCACTTACAAATTCTACCCACTCCATAATAATTTATGATGCCTACATACACTCACTGTCACTCTACCAAGTACACGAACTCCTGGAAGCCACAGTGCTGTGCACATAGCTGGTGGGAAGAGAATTTATCTCCACTGTCTTTGGTCCTGTCGAGTCTTCCTGTTCTCCCAAATTATACCAAGTCATTGCCCCCTCATATTCAAGTCCCACAGAAAATCCACTTTCTGGAAGAATGGAAAATGTGACTTGCTGGACTGAAATAGAACGAGAAGTGACACTCCTTCCCTGACACATACGAAAGGACGCTGAGTCACACTCCAATTCTCTTCGGAAAATGGAATCCCTGAGGACAGGGACTTTGTATTATATTTGTTCTATGTTATTTTCATAAGTCAAAGGCATCTCATGCTCACCATTAAATAAAAAGCTAAGTAAATGTCTAAATACTTTTTTGTGATCTGCTGGAAGGTGACACTAATAGTGTGGAGGGAAAGAGACATTACAGCCAATTAGTTGAAATGACATAAAAATTCTCTAATTGGTTTTTTGAAACATCTTGCTCCCAGAAAATATTAGGTGTTGAACCTCAATTTATCTCCACTCCTAAAATATCATTAGAACAAGTCTCTAGGGCTGTGAACACATAAGGCTAACACCAGCCCTGACAAATATCTATCAGTATCAGTTTAACTTACATGGGAAGAAACACCCATGGCCGAGTTGGATTTAAGAAGCGAGACCGACTCAACATAGAGGCATATCTAAAGAAAGAACAGAAACAACATCCAGAAGTCCTCTTTGTGAAGCAAAAAGATGACCCCTGGACCAAACTTCTTACCACAAAAACAAGATCCATCACAATCTCCCCCAAACCTGCCTCTAGCTGCACTTCACATTGCTCTTTCTCCACTCCCTCTCTTCCAATCTGGACGGCCTTTCTGGACTTTGTAGCTGTCCCCTGCTCAATGCCATGCTCTTTCCTTTATGCTTATGCCCCAGCAACATTCTATTTTCTCTGCTCAAAAGGTTCTGCCAAACACTTAACCTTTGAGATCAAATGTCATCTTCTCTGGAGAAAAGGTAGTTGCTTTGTCCTAGAGAGGAGATGTGGTCTAAGTCGTGACTTTTTTTTTTTTTTTTAAGAAGCCCCAGTTTATTGTTTATTTTTTAAATATATTTTATTGATTTTGTACAGAGAGGAAGGGAGAGAGATAGCGAGTTAGAAACATCGATGAGAGAGAGTCATCGATCAGTTGCCTCTTGCACACTCCCTACTGGGGATATGCCCGCAACCAAGGTACATGCCCTTGACCGGAATCGAACCCGGGTCCCTTCAGTCCCCAAGCCGACGCTCTATCCATTGAGCTAAACCGGTTTCGGCCCCAGTTTATTTTTATTTAAATAATACTCAAGGAACTTTCAGAAGGTTAAAAGGCTCAAGGATATCAGGTTTAATATAATATCATAGCCAGGTGCTTGCTGTTGCTGCCTGTTTCAAAATTCTCAAGATGATCCTGGGCACTTCAACGCTTCGCTAATTTTTCTAGTTCAAGAGTGGTGAACTCCTTTGAGTTTTGGCATGATTCATATAACCTATCCCTCCAGTAATGACGACAAAAAAAAAAAAAAAAAAAAAAAAAAAAAAAAAAAAAAACAATGCCAGAAGCAATCATAGTCATTGAGAGGAAGAGAGGTAAATTATCAGAGAAATAAGTCACCACAGCAATTTTGAGAAGCAAAATTATTAATCCGGTATAGAACAAACAGAATTGTTTGCAGAATCTATGTGAAAACCCTTTTGGTGTTATTTTTTGAGACCAAGTCCTCTAACTAGGAGCAGAGTAGTTGGGATCATGATGGATCTTATAATAAAATGTATCTTCAGGTTATTTTTCTCAAGCCTTTGCAGTGCCTGAAAACTGGTAGATGTTTGATAAATGTGTTTCCAGTAAATGTATGAGTTGCTGATGCACCTGTGTGAGTAGGCCCTTTTGCCTATTGATCCAAGGTCAATTGCTATTCTGACTTTATTGGGCTTTCCTAAAGTGAAATCACAATAAAAATAAAATTAAATTAAAATTTCTCTCAGTCACAACAATAATAGTTATAGCAATACCAGCTAATACTAATTGAGCACTTACTATGTGCCAAATATTATGAAGTCTTAATATGAATAATTTTGTTTAACTTCACAAATTATTCCCACTTTACAGACAAAGAGCTTGAAGCTTAAGACACCAAATAACTTGCCAAGGTAATAAATGGGGAAGCCAGGATTTAATCACAGGGTCCATATATTACATTAATATACACTGAGTGGCCAGATTATGATGATCTCTGAACGCATAATCTGGCCACTCAGTGTATATCCTATATAATGCTATCTAATAAAGAGAGTATATGCAAACTGACCATCACTCCATCACAAAGATGCTGCACCCACAGCTGAAGCCAAGTCCCATAAGGAGCCGTAAGGAGCAATCAGCAGGAACCTGAGGCTACGCCCTTCTCTGCCCCCATGGGTCTTCACGGAGGGACCTCAGGCTGTGCCCCCAACCCAAAAGGGCTTGACAGGGGACCTCAGGCCACGCCCTCCACCCCAGAGCCAGGCCAGGAGACCTGAGGCCATGCCCCCTACCCCGTGGGGCTTGACAGGGGACTTCAAGGTGCACCCTCAGTGCTGGGTCGGAGGAACTTAGGCCAGGGTGAGACTGGCAGGGTCTGGATCTAGCCCAATGGGGGTGGGCTGGCCGGGTCTGGGTCTCATGTGATTTTGAGGTGCATGTGGGTGGGCGGGGACTTGACTCTGGGTCTCATGGTGTGCCCCAGACTGATCGGAGGAAGGTTTTCATATGCATTTTACTAATTTTCTTTTATCTCTGACACTTCTATTATAGAGAAAGCGCAAATAGCAATATTAAATTATTTCCTCTAATTAATCCCCTTTTAATGTACACAAATTTCATGCAGCGGGTCACTAGTAAAAAGCTAATATGCAAATTGTCCCCTCGACCAGGAGTTCAACCAGCAGGCAGGCCGGCCAACTGCCCATGTCCCCTCCCTCTGGCCAGGCTGGCAGGACCCCACCCATGCTCGAATTCATGCACCGGGCCTTTATATATATATATATATATATATATATATATATATATATATATATATATATATACCGAGTGGCCAGATTATTATGCGTTCAGAGATCATAATAATCTGGCCACTAAGTGTATACTGTTGTCAACTAATCAACACCACTAGGCTCATGGTTATTGACTCATTACTGGTGATGCTGATCTCCACTGAGAAGCTCTTCAACCTCTCCACGGCTGGCTGAGAGAGGAGCACAGGTCCTTTGGACTTACGGAAGGAACATATCGACTATTTCAGTATTGTAACCTCCCACTGGAAATTTCCATGACAACGCAGTTGGAGGCTTTCTTGCTGAGCCCCGGCATGGTGATAGTGCAAGTTCTTTTATTCCTATGGACCCTAAGAAAAACAAACCTTCAATGGCAGCATCTGCTGGCAACCACTTCCTGTGATGTCCCTGCGAAGGAGCTGGTTCCACATAAGTCTTGAAGCTACACCCTTGTAATGTATTTATAAGTTGTTGGCTAATGATCTAAGCTCCAATTAATAGTACCTCCTCAATAGGGCGTTTCCTGGCACCCTGTCCACCCTGTGATTTTTTCCACACCTTAATTCCTCCGTATTTTGACAGCACATTTCTCACTCAGGACTTAAAAGGAAAATTTGCTATAACACGTGGCGAGCATTCGGTAAATAATTGCATCAAAATGGCAACTCGTGTCATGTTGAGGTCCAGTGAGAAAAGATCCATTTTTCTGGAAAAGATCTGAGTTAAGAATACATCTGGCTCCTGATTTAATTTCTCCCGGTAGAGGGAATGAGGGTGGCCTGGCAAAGCCACAGGAAAGCACATGTGTGTGTTGTGCTTCTGGTTTTTCTCAGGGGCAGTTACTGAAGGTTTGAGGCATGAGTCCGGTGCCTATTTTTCCTCGCTGGTGTCCCTATTCAAAAAGGCAGTGGGAAGGCTCAGTGGGACAGCTTACACCCAGACACCCTGAGCCTCTGGGTGCATCTCATTCAGAGACAGACTCTCTTTTAGAGCAACCTTAACATGTTATTTGAATGTATTGGAAAAGATGACAAAATAGATGTGAGTTCCATGTGGATCCGTGAGCCTAGCACCAGGAAGATATGCAGTATCTCCACCCATGAACTACCTGCCTCTTAAGGGAGAAGCCAGGGGTGTCTGTGAAAGCCCTATGGGCGGTGAGCCGGCTGCCGGAGGAGCCAGGCGCTGGGCAGTGATGGAAGTGTCCAGCAGGGGGCTGGCATTCTCTGTCTATAAGTAGCCCCGGTTCCTCTTCAGAGCCTCGGCTCAGCAGAGCTGCCGTTCGCTGGGGAAGCCAGTGACGAGCGAAGCATCCTGCCTATGGGATGGGAGGCTTGCTCAGTGCCGTTTTTTTCTACCCACTTCAAACCTTCAGGGTCCAAGTATCAGGGAAGGCAGGAAATGCCGTGTGAAAACAGCAGCCCAAAAGTTCTCAGTTAACCGCAGCGAGGGAGGCTCAGCCTGGAAAGGGGGGTAGAAAGAGTTGATGCAGAGTGAGTTTCATGCTGAGCCCTGTTTGGACTGACTTTAGGACTGTATTGCACTGTTCATGTGAAGATCAGAGCAGTACCGGCATCAACGTAGTGACAGGGTTTGGATGCCATGGTCTATATGCACTCAGAGTGTCTTGAGTAAAGAAGAGCAGGAGCCTAGCAGAGATTCTGTCCTCAGCTTCCCCCACCTGCTACATCCAAAGTTAAGGAGCGGCAGCTGAGGACACCTGTCGGGTCGGCAAGCACCTAGAGGATGGCTCTCAGCGATTGCTGGCTCCAGAGCGTGTCCTGCAACTTCTCCAATCACAGTCTGGAGCTCCCCGTGAGCGAGGACTGGTTCCACCCGGGGGTCCTCTATGTCATCCCGGCCATCTACGGGGTCATCATCCTGATAGGCCTCGTGGGGAACATCACCCTGATCAAGATCTTCTGCACCGTGAAATCCATGCGCAACGTGCCGAACCTCTTCATCTCCAGCCTGGCTTTGGGAGACCTGCTCCTGCTGGTGACCTGTGCTCCCGTGGATGCCAGCCGGTACCTGGCCGACAGATGGCTGTTTGGTAGGGTCGGCTGCAAGCTGATCCCCTTTATACAGCTCACCTCGGTGGGGGTGTCTGTCTTCACCCTCACGGCTCTCTCCGCAGACAGGTAAGTGCGGGGGGGGGGGGGAGACAGTCGCATGCTCTCCGAGGGGGGTGGCTGCCTCAGTGAACCAGCTACCATGCTGGGACAGGCAGAGCTGTTGGCAGCAAAGGAAGTTTTGCTCAAACTCAGATTCCCTACCGGGCATGCTTTTTTTTTGTGCTGGGGATTACTTCTGGAGTTTTACCTGTTGGTTTAAGAAAGAAAAGGGAATGGATGGCAAAAAAAAAAAAAAAAAAAAAAAGGGAGGGGGGGATAAAGAAAAATAATTAGCTTAAGATGGAGGTGCACTTTCTGGACACAAATCCATTGAGCGTGGCTTTTCCCTAAATTCTCCCCCCCCCCTCGGGGCAAAATTAATTGTCCACTAAGAAAAACAAATCACAACGAATAGGGTCTCAACCCCAGGCAAATGCCTCTTAGAAGCCATTGAAAATCTTCAGAAAAGCCCCACTGCATTTCGAATTCAAAATCTCCTTTCGGAAATGACCAACAGGGGAAAATGAGAGACGTTTCCTTGCAATTCATTTTCCTCAGTTGAACTTTTCTCGCAGCCGGGTTTGTATTTGGCTTTCTGTAATTGAACAGTTTGCGTGCTGGTTTTGTTTTTGTGTTTGTTTTTTTTTCTAACTAGTGAAATGAAGCATTCTTGGATTTTTTTTTTTCTTGAGGAAGCTCCATTCAAGTCTGAGTTTGAATTTTAATATCTTTGATGATGTCCTTCCATATACATTTCATTTCGAGTGAAATGTTTGGGGTGGGGAGTCAGTACAAAAATCCTTTCCAATTATTCTGGGAAATGTGCATATTTGTGAACTGCATTGCTTGTGTGAACTACTGCTTAACGTCTATGTATTCATTCTTAAAAGTTTTGAATGCCTGTTTGAATGAACTGTTTGAATGAGCTCCCTCTTTGAAGACCTGTTTGAATTAACCGGTCAGGAAATACCTGCAGGGTGCTCACATAAATTGCTGAGTGCATGTCATGTGTTTCTGAGCTCGAGAAACTGGACACACTAATGAATAGATTCCAGACGCCTCGTAGACCAGATGGTCAGATTAAGAAAAATTGGCAGAGTGAACCAAAGACTAGAACTTTTTATTTTCAAATCCACTGTCTGTGATGGTGTTAAAGGTACCTAAGGATCTGAACGCGTACCGGAAAAGACACAGAAGCAGCTCTTGAAAATGTGTGCTCCAAGGAAAATGCCCCACATTGTAATACATGTGGCGCTGGCTTCTCATTTTGCAGAGGAACAAATAGTCCTCAGGTGATCTGGCTTTGAGTAATGGGCAAATAAGATAATGCTATCAGTGTTTGTAGACATGTGTTTATACCCAGCCGCCTGGAGTACACTGCTCGGCACACACCACGTTTTCAAAGATTGAAAACTAACAGCCCAGAAATGAGGTTTGCACATCACACCGGCTGGACAGGGTCCCTCCATTCCCGCTCCTCACCTCCAGCCTTCCATGACCCTGAACGCCTGCCCACAAGGTACTAATGGCCACAGGTAGTTTCAAGTATTGATCCAGGGCAGGCAAACTTTGGAGCCGGCAGAGGGTCTGGGCTCGTTACCAATAGCCGAGGACACCTCAAGAGGAGGGGGATTTTCTTGATGGGAAGATGAGATTTTTGTTTCTGAGTTGTGAGTGCAGTGGTACACATGACGTTTACTGTCTCTTTGGGGTGGAGGTGGTTGGTGGGTAGGGCGGAAAGTGAGGGTGTGGGATGTAAAGATGTAGCTGCACAGAATCCCTCCCCCGAGTTTCAAAGCAGACCAAATTCACTATCAGCAAAAGAGCGCTTTCAAAGCTGGGTTGCACAGTTTGTCAGCTCCATTGTATTTTCAGTGAGTTTATAGTTCGTTACTGTGCATCCTTCCCAAGTCGTTACTCTAGCTTTCCTATAACTAACTTTTTGTGTTTTGCTGCGGCTTAAAAAGGCTGATGGATCATCTGAATCACAGGTAGTGCATTTATCCTAGTTCAACAAGCATAGGGATTGAGCTACTTAAATAATATACGTGTACTTACCAAATGATTTCATTTTAAAATATATATATATTTTTTGATTTTTTTACAGAGAGGAAAGGAGAGGGATAGATAGTTAGAAACATCGATGAGAGAGAATCATCGATCAGCTGCCTCCTACCCACCTCCCATTGGGGATGTGCCTGCAACCCAGGTACATGCCCTTGACCGAAATCGAACCTGGGACCTTTCAGTCCGCAGGCTGACACTCTAGCCACTGAGCCAAACCAGTTTCGGCATGATTTCATTTTTGTTGTTAATTCTCACCAAGGATATGTTTCCATTGACTTTTAGAGAGAGTGAAGGGGAGGGGGAGAGACAGAGAAAGAAACATTGATGTAAGAGACACACCTTGATTGGTTGCCTCCTGAACAGCAACCTGACCAGGGCTGGAATTGAGCCTGCAACTGATGTGAGGTACATGCCCTTGACCTGAATCAACCTGGGACCCTTCGGTCTGAGAGCCAATGTTCTACCCACTGAGCCAAACTGGCTAGGGCTATTGGTTTCATTTTTAAAAGATGTTGGAGCTTTATAACAACCTCATGAGGTTAGCAGGGCAAATATATATCTCCACACATACACAATATCTATTTTTTCTCAAAAAGGTATAATTTACATACAGTGAACTGAACAAGTGTACAGTTCGATATATTTGTACACATGTCTATATAACAACACAGCCACAACCCAGATGAAGGTATGGAACAGTTCCAGCACCTAGGAGTTTCTTCTATGCTCCTTTCCACTTAATACCCATCTCTATAAAGAGACCATCACTATTCTGAGTTTAATTATCATAGATTATTTTTGCCAGTTCTTTAATCTGATGTAAATGGAATCACACTTTTTTAAAAAATATATTTTTATTGATTTTTTACAGAGAGGAAGGGAGAGAGATAGAGAGTTAGAAACATCGATGAGAGAGAGTCACTGATCAGCTGCCTCTTGCACACCCCCTACTGGGGATACGCCCGCAACCAAGGTACATGCCCTTGACTGGAATCGAACCCGGGACCTTTCAGTCCCCAAGCCGACCCTCTATCCATTGAGCCAAACCGGTTTCAGCGGAATCACACTTCTTATGCTTATCATTATGTTTGTGATAGTCATCAATCTTGGTGCACATAGCAGTGGTTTGTGCTTTTTAATCATCATGTAGTATTCCATTGTATTGAATATATCTCAACTTATTTATCCGTTCTAATGTTGATGGACATTGGGTTGTTTCCAGTTTGGAGCTGGTAATAACCTGCTCTGGATATTCTTCTTCATGCCTTCTGAGGGATATAAGTGTTTATTTCCCTTGGGTATATGCCTAGGAGTGGAATAGCTAGATCATAAGAGTCATATACTTAGTAAATATTGTCAAAGAGTTTTCTAAATTTCTAGTCTGCAGTGGATAGATTAGTAAAATGGGTGAACCAGAAGACACCCCCCCCCAACCTTATGATCATCATAGTCATTGGGGAGCTTAAAAATGTACAGATTCTTACTCCCCACCTTACATCTACTGAATCAGGTCTTCTGAGGTGTGAACAGACACTAATAATCATCCATCCCTGCTCCCTGTATGTTGACCAGCAATGTCGTCACTTTTATCCCAACCTCCTTTCTGCAGCCCTCCAGATGAACTTGAGTCTTTGTTAACATGAAAAGAGTAACATTTTTCTAGAAAAGTCTCTACTGCTGTCACTGTGTCAAAGGGAGACTTCAAAGCAGTCCCAGAAACCAGAATTCTGGTTTTCGTATGGCCAACCAATCGCAGATTTACACTCAAATTCTATATTAGTCCCTGTCCTCTCTCACCTTCCGTGCTTTCTTTCCTTTACATACACACCGATATCCTCATACACGGTGGTTATACTGAACTCCTGGCTCTGCTTCTTGCTTATGCTGTGTCTCACCCACTCTCAAGAACGTGTTTTCCTCTCCTAAATAGAAGATTCCACTCCCCATCCCATGCAATGTGTGCTTGGAATGGGCATTGAGAGCACTGCACTTTAGGCCTTTTCCTGCCATTCTTCCCTCTAAGAGGGAGTCAGACCAAGTCATTTAACTCTCTGACCTTAGTTGAATTATCCATAAAATAGTAGAGTCTAGCTAGATTACTTCAAAGATCCCTCCAAATTTTAAAATCTTATGAGGTTTTTTAATCTTTCATTTTGCCTATCAGTTGGAATCTGGTTTAAGCCTCTTCCTTTAAGCCCTAAGTTGGACAATTCTAGCCCAGATTTCCTAACCCTCTTCTAAATGTGAGACTTATTATCTGAGACATAAATTATCTTGTGATGCCTTTCACCTTTCTGTTTTGAAATATTTCACTAATTTGTCTTTTTTAGCCTCTTATATATTCATTGCTTTAACTTTTCAAGTAGATTATTAAGAATGTTGAGGACAGGGATTTCTTATATATTTTGTATCTTCCACAGCGCCTCACACAGTTCCTTGTACTAAGTGGGTGGTTAATATTTATCAATTAAAATTGTGGTTCATTAATGCATACTTTTTCTTCTCATTCTTATGATTCTCCATTTTGGGGGGAATTTATCTGAAAGCATGCTCTTAAATATGTATCATGCAGTCACCTGCTTCTTATTTGTTCCTCTCTATTAAGCTCTCATTATTTGGGTAAATGAGAGAAAAGCTATTCTTTGCGAGTCAGTGAATAGATTCTGGGAATAAATAGATAATTGGATAGATGGATGAGAAGTAGATGGGGGAGAAGATGGATGATGGATGAGTGGATAAGTGGATGGGCAGATGGTGGACAGATGGTTGGATAGATAGGTGAATGGTTGGATGGATAGATGGGTGTATTTTTTACTTAATGATCTTTCCTACTAGATACCCATCTCTGTACTATGTGCCTCAGTATTGTGTAATGGAATTTTAGACCTGAATTGGACCCTAAGCAGGAAAAGGGTAAGTAGAGTTTGTGTTTTCTTTTCCAGGAAGCATAAAGGTTAAAG